CCGAACTATGTACGAGACTGGAAAGCTGCCCAGATCGCCAACGAGATGAAAAGATACGGAATACAAGTGCTGGGAATATGTGAGAGCAGATGGAATGGGAGTGGACTCACCAAATTGTCAACAGGTGAGTCAGTGATCTACTCCGGTCACCCAGAAGATAACCACACGCACACCGAGGGCGTGGCTATCATGATGTCACCAACGGCAACGAAAGCCCTGATACAATGGGAGGCGATTTCGTCCAGGATAATGACCGCCAGGTTCAACTCCAAAGGAAGGAAAGTGTCAATCATACAATGTTATGCACCCACAAACAACGCAGACCTCGAGAAGAAAGAAGAATTCTACAGGCAACTACAGGCAACAATGGACAATACTCCAGCTGGCGACATGAAAATACTAATGGGAGACATGAACGCCAAACTGGGACCAGACAATACGGGAAGGGAACTCATCATGGGTAGAGAAGCTCTAGGAGAAATGAATGAAAACGGAGAACTCTTCGCCGACTTCTGCGCCTTCAACGAACTGGTGATTGGTGGCAGTGTATACAAGCACAAAGATATCCACAAGGCTACATGGGTGTCACCAGACGGGCAAACCAAAAACCAAATCGACTTCATCTCAATCTCAAGGAAGTGGAGGCGCAGCCTACTGGACACAAAAGCAAGAAGAGGAGCAGACGTTGGCTCAGACCACTATCTCGTACAAGGGACAATCCAAATCAAATTAAAAGCTTTCAGGGAATCAGGAGCTGCAGATAGACCACAAGCCAAGTTCAACACTCAAAAGCTGAAGGACCAGGCTACAAAGGACATCTTCATTGCAAGCATAAAGGACAAAGCCGAGACACAAATCAACACTAGCGAAGAGGTCGGCGTTGAAAAGCACTGGAACAACTTGAAAACGGTGTGGAGCCAAACCTGCATAGAAATTCTAGGCAGAAAAAAGAGACAGGACAAACAGTGGCTCACTACGGACACTTGGAAACTAATAGAAGAGAGAAGGACAGTGAAGCAAAAGATTATCCAGTGCACGACGAGCAACAAAAACAGGAGCTGAATGCAAGCTACAATACACTGAACAAAAGAGTGAAGAAAAGTGCCAGGGAAGACAAAAGAAAATATTATGAAACCATGGCAAACGAAGCAGAACAAGCTGCAGGCAAAGGAGACCTCGCCACACTCTACCAAACAACTAGGAACCTTTCGGGCAAACGTTCGACACAGATTAAGCCAATAAAGGACGACAATGGAAAGTCAATCACCAAAGAGGTGGAACAGAGAAAGCACTGGGTTGAACACTTCAAAAGACTTCTAAATCGTCCGCCACCTACAACACGTCCAGCAATACCAACAACGGAAGCAGAACTACCAGTGAACACTGACCCCCCGACGAAATCAGAAGTCCTGAATGCAATCAAGATGCTTAAAACTGGGAAAACACCGGGACCAGATGGAATCCCAGCAGAGGCTTTGAAAATAGACCCAGAGACAACAGCGGACTTGATGACACCACTACTGGAGAAGGTGTGGAAAGAGGGCAAAGTACCCGAGGATTGGAAGAACAGTTACTTATTCAAACTTCCAAAGAAAGGAGACTTAAGTCAATGTAAAAACTGGCGTGGAATTATGCTTCTGTCCATTCCAAGCAAGATACTAAGTCGCATCATCCTGGAGAGAATCAAACAAGCCCTAGATGAAAAACTTCGTCCGGAACAGGCTGGATTCAGGAGAAACAAATCATGTATTGATCAAATCGCCACTCTACGGATCATCATTGAACAAAGCTTGGAATGGCAGTCACCTCTCTATCTCAACTTCATCGACTTTGAAAAGGCCTTCGACAGCGTCGATCGAGAGGTCATTTGGAAACTACTTCGCTACTACGGGGTCCCATCGACAATTATACACCTCATCCAACAGTTATACGACAATGCTGCATGCCAAGTAATCCACAACGGGAAACTTACGGAAGCCTTCGAAGTGAGGACGGGAGTGAGGCAAGGCTGTCTACTATCACCAATGATCTTCCTGATTGCAATTGATTGGATAATGCGACAGACAACGGCAACCAACGAGGGAACAGGCATAAAATGGACTGACACAAAAGACTTGGAGGATCTGGATTTCGCCGATGATATATGTCTGATTTCCCATAAACTGGAAGATATGCAAGTGAAAAGTAACAAGTTGGCAGAAGAAGCATCAAAGATAGGACTTCACGTGAACATAGATAAAACAGAGATGATGAAGATTCCTAGCCAACATCAACAGCAACAACAACAACAGACAACAATAAGCATAAATGGGAAGAACCTGAAAGAAACAACCTCCTTCACCTACCTGGGAAGCATCGTCTCAACTACAGGCGGAACTGACGAGGACATCAAAGCCAGAATCGGAAAAGCAAGACAAGCTTTCATTACTCTCAAATCTGTGTGGAGGTCAACAGCAATCAGCATCAAAAATAAGATCCGGATTTTCAACTCCAATGTGAAGTCAGTGCTACTATACGGATCAGAGACTTGGCGAGTCATAAAGAGCATCTCAAACAAACTTCAAACCTTCATTAACAACTGTCTCCGCTCAATACTCAAGATCAGATGGCCAGAAAAGATCAGCAACAGGGATCTCTGGGAGCGAACCAATCAGGAACCGATTGTGAAACAAATAGGCAGAAAGAAATGGAGATGGATTGGCCATACGCTGAGGAAACCATCAAGTGACATCACTAGACAAGCCCTCGAGTGGAACCCGAAAGGGAGGCGGCGAGTTGGTCGTCCAAGGGTGACTTGGAGGAGGTCATGCGAGGAGGAGATGAAAGCATGTGGACAGACCTGGAGCAGGGTGAAAAAGTTGTCAGAAAACCGAAGTCAATGGAGGTGCGCAGCTGAAGCCCTATGTTCCTCTAGGAACTAAAGGATACAATAATACAATAATAATACAGTATTGCATCCGAAAATCCAATCAAACGTAGATACAAATAAGCTGAAAACTGGTTAGCTGTTTTTAATTCACCTGAATATTTTGATGTGGTTTTGTTCTCTGAGCTGGATGGTTAATTTGCGAAGCTTTCATCACCCTACTGGGTGACATACATCTTCAGCGCATACTTCAATTTATTGAAGTGAGCTTTTACATTTCTCCACGACTTTATCAACCATCTCTCCTGGTGGGTGACCTTGGACGTGATTGGTTGTTTGTGTGTTTTCACACCTTCTAGGCTACTTGTATTGCAACTGATTGTTTCTTTGACTTGGACTTTGACCCTTCGTATGTGAAGTTTCTTTCTCACCGGTTGATTAATTTTGTCTACCTCGATGTGTCTATTGATTGATGATTCACTGGAATGACAAGCTTCTAAAAATTCTCTAGCATTCTTGTTGTTTCCTCCGTCTATTATTTGAACATTGTCTCAGTCGAATTGATGTCCGTCGTTGTCTGTGTGTAGTGATATGAGCGAGGGAGTGGATATCATGTCTTTTGACGGCTAGCTTGTTTTCGTGGATACGAAGACGAAGGGGACGTCCACTTTGACCAATGTAGTGTTTTTCACAGTTGTTACAGTTTATTTTGTAGATGATGTTGGTTTTATCTTCTTTCGCTGTCGAGTCTTTTGGTTCACATAGAACTGAGGGAAATGATTTTGTTGCTTTGTGTGAGACGTCAATTCCTAAAGGTTTGAAGAGTCTTGTAGTGATTTCTGAGATATCCTTTATATGTGGTAAGGCGATTTTCTTTGTGCTTTCCTTGGGGGCTTTTGGTTTGATAGGTTGGTTTGTCTTTTGATGAAATTCCGTGGATATCCATTCTTTTGGAAGACGTCCATGTGATACTTTTCTTCAATCTTCCTGAAGGTGGGAGTGCTGCAATGAGTCCTGGCTGGCCCTCTTGAATAGTGTTTGTATACAATTCCTTTTGTGTGTTATTGGATTGTCACTGTTGTAATCCAGGATTTGGTCCGCGTGAGTTGATTTTCTATAAACTTGAGTTTCTAACTCCCCTGTGGTTGTTCGCTTGACTAAGACGTCCAAAAATGGTATTTTGTCCTCGGATTCCTCTTCTCTTGTGAATTTGATGTCGTTGAAGACGTTGTTTATTAAGTCGTGAGTTTTATCTAACTCGTTTCTTTTGATGATTACAAATGTGTCGTCGACGTAGCGTATCCAAATCATGGGTTTGATCTTTGGTAGAATTATGTTTTCGAGTCTTTGCATCACTGCTTCTGCAATCAAACCTGATATTGGCGATCCCATGGGTGTTCCTTTGACTTGTTCATATATTTAGCTATTGAATTGGAAGTATGTTGTTAGACATAGGATCATGCATTCCATCCAGCTTGTGTGTTGCATTTATGATTGTTGTGGAAGGTATTCGTCGTTGCTAGGTAATTGTTCCATGGTTTCTTTTGCTAGTTTTTGTCCGATAGAGGTATATAATGCTGTCATGTCGTAGGATACCATCATTTCTTGTTCATCTGTATTCTTTGGATAACAGCTACTGGCGTACACGTTTCCAGAGCGAGTAGGAATAATTTTATATACTACTGACTGGGTGAAGTTCAACAACAGCGTCCTGGGGTGCGATCATTAAGAAAGCTGGACAGAACTTCAGACAACAGTGTGAAATGGACACCTGTTGTCGAAGCCCTATATTCCACACGTAACTTAAGGGAATAATAAAAATAAGAATATGCCCCACAAACTGTACATTGTACCTATTTCTGTTAGCAGGCTTAAAGAAAACTCCACATCATTTTTACTAATAGAGATATATGGCTAAGTGACTTAAACACTCAACTCTTGGCCAACAGGTTCCAAATTCGTATTCCGTTATACCTACTTCAGATTAGGTCCTCACACGATACATACATACAATAAATCCGTTCCGCGTAATTCACTTCCAGAAAAAAAACGGCAGTCAACAGATAAACAGTTTGTATTTAAAAAGACAAGAAATGATCTGTTCTCAAAAATAGCTTTTACAAAGAAGAAAAAATTAAGTGCTTAAAATCGCAGGTTGCGTAACGCATTTATTCAGTCTATGATGAATCTCTTTGATAAGACACTGGATATCATGTTGAAATACATGCAGGCCACGACTAGTTAGAACAGCAAATGACAGTAGACCTTCACCAATTAAATCCAATGGCGGTGATATAGAAAATACTGGACCAGGTAGTGAACGTTGAGATTTTAATCTGTAAGATAAGTATTAGGAATATATATATATAGATCTGATTACGTCATGACCTAGTGGCTAGGCATTATTAAACAGTTCATAACACATTAATTATCAGGCATTATTACGTCATTATGGCATTGAATATGGCAGATGATATAGTCCTTCTAGGTGAAGACACTGACCAAATGCAGAGCCTTCTGAACGCCTTGAGCTACAATCTACGAATGTTTGGCATGCGATTCGCTCCCGCCAAATGTAAGATGATGCTACAGGACTGGACTGTATTGACTACTAGTTAGCTTAGGAAATACGAAGTGAAGTGGTAGAGCGCGTTGACCACTTCCCTTTATTTGTGAAGTTGCATCAGCCGACGCCAGTAGGCTGATCACTGATGAAATCACAGCACGGATTCAGAAGGCGCGTTAAGCATATACCAGTTCACGACGTCTCTAAAGTAGACGTGATATCCAACTGGCTATCGATTGAAGGGAGTGTGTACTGCTCAGAAGTCCGCTCCGTCCTCCTTTATGGCAGTGAGACTTGGCCATTGAGAGTGGAGAACATGAAACGCCTGGTTAGCTATCTTCGATAGTAGGTCCCTGAATTCTATCTCCCGTGTGAAGTGGTATAATAGGGTAAGCAATACTGAGGTTAGGCCTGATTGGTTGGGGTCCTCGGGACGGTAAACACCAATGAAGACTGGAGACAATTGGTGATATGGCTCAAAATCGTTCTCCATGACTGATGCAGATGCATTCACTCCTTGTGACTTATGATTTCCAGTGAAACTATGTTGTTCTTCGTTGTTACTATTCTTTTTGCTTCATATCTCTGTTTACTGTCTCTATTATGCATTTGTTCTACTTTCTTCTCTTACTTTGTGTCCTACAAGGAGGGAGTGTGGCGACTTGAACTGCCGCACATATGTGCAAAGTTCCATGTTGAAAACAGACAGACAGACATAATCGATGCAACGGTACAACGCTCACCAACCGATCACATGGTTCAGATTAGAATCCCGGCCGACGCACTCATAAACCTCACTTGGCCAGTATTAAGCCCAGTAAAGAGGAGAAACTGAGCGTGAGACTACTGTCAACACCACCACAGAAAATTCATAGCTCAACTTCGAAGCCCCATGTACCACTAGGAATGCAAAGGAGTGAATAAAAAAGACTGTGGTTCCATTAGTATCACCAGCCTTCAGACCAAAATACAAGTCTCCGTGAGTACCGCAAAATCCTATTTTTGGCCTTCTTTTAAAATTGATTTGTCAACGCAGAAAGCAGAAAATCAGTTATGCTTACGTATAGCGTCCGCTTTTCAACTCAGTATCACTATATTCCCATTCATAATACAACAATCGTTGGCCGAATGTACCAAGTATAATTTCAGGTTTCCCGTCTAAATTAAAGTCACCAACTGATGCACAATTGACATGATCAAAATCTGCACTACACGGTAGAATATATTGATTTTGTGACCCAAAACCGTTATGTTTGAAGATATCCCTGAAAAATTGAAAAGTTTTAATGCACAGAATTCGCATAAAGGTAAGGAATTATTTCAACATAAGAATACTTATCATTGTAAGGTAAGACAGAGTAATATTAATGTCCTATAGTCTTGTGGTGTATGTGCTGCTGGCAAGATTCGTTTAAGTAGTATATTAACCACATCTGCAACGATGTTGTGTAGTGAAGTGACGCAATTAGGTTGCAAATAGGCGGAATGAAGATAATTTAGAAACAAGAGAGAGTAAGCACTCAATGATGAGAAAAGAAACAGACTACGAACAACTTTTGCGAATTGAAGGATAAACAATACTGCTACCAAATACTACAGTGGTCTGTTGTGATGTGTACTACTGATAAGATTTATTAGTAGTATATATGTGGAGAGAGATGTTCATCCGCATAATTAGCATCAAATAGCAGACAGATAGGTTTGATCTCAGCGAAAGCAAACGATACAGCGTTGTGGAGATACATGAGAGATGTGAAAGGAACACAAAGCAACACACACAATATGAAAGAGCGGCAGAAGTAGCACGACACGGAAGATCTGTGCAAATGGTGCGTTGAATTGGCTATATAGAGATAAAAAAATTCCTAATAAACATTCCTTTGTCAAGTCTCTCGTCTTCAGCTGTTACACTATGTATACGTGTATGGCAGAAACTACTATTTCTGTACATTTTCCGCAACCTTCGGGTTCTCTCTTTTTTGGTTAACGCTGAACATTTTGTCTAGATTAACAAAGGAAGCTTCTCAGTCAAATCATTCAGCTCAATAAACACAAAAACATCCAAATGAGCAACAAATCCCCTACATTATCACCCCAGAACGTCAAAATAACCTGGAGAAGTCTCAAGTATATCAGCTCATATTTATTGCTCATGGTGTAAGAATTGGAAAGGTAGATAGAAAGGAGGTTCTAGGTTAAGATATGCCGCCTTTACTCATGTGCTTAAATGAAGTCTCAAAAGACCATTGGGTTTTAATGTCAGCTAGACAGTTGAAGCAAATTCGAAAAAAGACTTTGGGCTTCGGCTAGAGAACTGTACCAACGCCTTTCTTAAGCGCGTGGTAATCAGCCCTTCACCTACAATAAATGAAATATACAGAGTGTGATTCACCGCTCCTAAAACTTGAATTCTATACACAGATTGACTGTCAGAGTGCAATCAATCCTTCGGCAAAGTAGAGATTGGTCATAAACCCACAGTTTATAGCGCATCAAACAATACGATTTCGAAAATTAAAAAACAAGATCCGGTAAACATTGTTCTTTACACTTCGGACGGTAGCACCGAAAACACTTCGCTCCGCATGGGTGTAATCCCAACACATATTGCCATCATCTTTGCGTATGTAAACGTTACCGATTTGGAATGACTACATGGACGGCAGGTTTTTTCTACAATCCTTACGGAGTTACATACAACAAAACCCTGAGATCTATCGTCAACAGCTCTTAGACTTAGCAAAGATACCTAAAGGAGGCGAAATCCGGCTTCACTACAAACACGAAACGCAAGACTTTATTTACCAGGAGAGATATATTCTAGAAATTTTGTTGTCGATCGAACACTGGTACTTTGAACACTTTTACAAATATCTAACAACTTTCAGTGTGGAAAATAGTTATTCATAGGGAGGACTCATCGATCTCTGCTAGTAAGGGATGGCTTCAAAGCATATTCCTAAATGCCAACTTCAAAAGCAAATAGAACCCTCAGAAACAATTAATGGTAAGAACACGAGACCTAGCTTTTCTATTGTAAAACATATTATAGAAACAGGACATAAAATTGACGTTAACATATCTTTTAAACCTATATACAAAAAGTGTTTGGGGCATATCCTAAAGTTCGTGGAAGCAATTAGAAAGTTACAAGTAAGATAAATCAACTGAAAGAAACCATAAAAATGATGGATAAAAACAATGTGATTTACAAAATATCCCATGGCTTTGTCTAAAATATCTTGTGCCGAGTGTACGACTAAATATGTGGGTCAAACGCGTCCAGATCACTCAAAATAAGAGTGAATGAACATAATGAACGCCTGCCTAAAGTAAAGGTCAACCAACAGGAACAAGCTTTCAACAATTTAGAAAAAAACTCGTCTATAGCTGCACATACAGCATGGGACAAAAACCACAATATCGATTGGAACAATGTTTGTATTATAAATATAAACTAACATGAACAAATGAAAAGTGACACTACTAATAACAGAATCTATATTCATTAAGGTCACATCGGATACATGTAACAAGGGTGACTCAGCAACACAACTGTCAACAACCTGGAATACACAAAAATGAATGAACTATATATGTATGAGTACAAATCATATATGTATGAATGAAAAAACCAAACAATTCCAACAGTTGATGTGATGATCACGGGTAGTAATTTTCCTCAAAACATTAACAAAGCACAGAAACTTATCATTGTGTGTGTGTAAACTATTGAGATATAATTATACTTTGTTTGATGATCTATTCCACAATACTCAAACTTTTTATTAAGATATGTGGTATATATGTGGTGAGAGGTGGCTACTAGCCAAATTGGTAGACAGTAATTTACGTCAATGTTTATGTCCCAAATATATCAATAATGTGAAAACAAGAACAAAGACTGACAGTAGACTTTGCGTATGCGGATACAATTTGCAGATAGATAATCTGAACTTCAAGAAACGGCAACAAGGAGATGAAAGATTAACTATTAGTGAGAAACAACCAATCAGAAGATTGTGTTTGTCAGCTAACAATAATCTATAATAATGTACATGAAAATTTACAAAATATCTGTTGATTTCCTTAATAAACGATCTGTTGCATGATTCTTGCCTTCTGTCGTTACATATATAGCTGTGAATATCAGAAATTCAACTGACAGATAATTCATGATACACACACATCTGACATAGAATGTATATACACTCACTCACTCACTCACCAATAGACAACGGAGAGTTCAAAAGCAGAGCAAACTAAACAATTGATGTATTTCAATTGCACACACTCTGATTCTAAATGGAAATTGAAGAGAGAAAAAGATTATTGTGGATTTAAAGAGTATATGGAAATTTATGTAGGATTACACTTGAAGTCATTCGATAAAAGAGAAGTTCATGAAATACTAACTAATTGAAAATGTTGACAAAGAAAGAATTCATGGGGCAATTGGATCGGGTCCCAGTGGCTCAATGGTCTACGCGCTCAACTTGTAACCAGAAGGCCTTGGGTCGAACCCCAATGGGTGCGTACTGATGAAGAGTCTCGAACCAGGACGAAACAGCTATCCAAGACTGATATCAGCTCGTGATAAAATCCCTCGTCCAAAGAACGAACGATCACATTTGCTCACTGAGTCGTTTCAACAAAGAACATTGCACAGATGTGCAGCAGTTCCAGTTGTCACACGCAAAGCAAGAGAAGAGATTAAAGAGAGATGCAAAAGAGAGAAAGATAATTAACAAAAGTGCGAGTAGGGCAAAAGAATAGTAATATGGAAAAAGAGCAGAGTTTTATAGGATATGATATATCACCATACCGAGGACTCCGACCAGCCAGGAAGTCTTACACCCCCCTGAGTCGCTTAAAATAACAGTTATGGATTTGATTGACTGATGCCATGTTTTGGTTTGACCACCACCACTACCTCTTTTCTAACCTCATCAATCCTATGTCAGCTAACATTGCCTGTCAAGGAAGGAGATGGCTAGGAGTGTGTAACACATGTCCTAACCATCTTCTCAGTCAATATAACTTCACAGCCTCGTCCGCTGATTTCCCCTTCTTGCCTAACACTCGATTAAGGCCTAACCTCAATATTGCTAAAACTATTAAACCACCCAAACACTGGAAACAGAAAGGAGACATCTATAATCAAAGACAGCTAGTCAGCCTTCTCAAGTTTTCCACTTTCAATGATCATGTCTCAATTACAGACAAAGAGGAAGACGGAGTGAACTGCTACTGAGTAGTACATACGCCTGGATATCACACGTCTACTAAGCTAGAGATGGCATAAAATGGCGTATGCCATACGAGTCATTTACATCCATGCTGTGATTTAGTCAGTGATCAACCCGCCGATTGACGCAACTTCGTAAAATAAGTGAAGTGGTCAACACGCTCTATCAACCTCTATTACTCCTTATGTGCGAACTAGGAGCAAATTCGATGTAGTCCAGTTGTGTAACATCATCTTGAATTTGACGGAAGCCAATTGCATGTCAAGCATTCGGAAATTGCTTTCTGACCAAGATGTTCAGAAGATTCTGCTCAACTATGTTAGAGTCTTCACCTAGGTGGGACGGCTACATCATTTGCATATTCTAAGTCAACAAGACTATTCCCTGCTGGTAACAAGTCATTCCCTGAGACGCTGAAGTTAACAGTTAAGATTAATTCCATTATTATGATATCTATGATGAAATTCAACAGAAAAGGGGACGATAGGCATCCCTGACAGAGACCACTTCACATGACAACTCACCTAGCTGCATGAGTTCATTCAACCAGAGTGCCTTGAAGAGTGCAGTGTGTTTTCTCAACAGCAAGAATTAAACCCATCTTATTTCGCAAATACTTCTCAAACTAACAAGGAAAACATATATTAGCGAACAATTTTTTCCGTCACATTCCCCACTGGTACATAGGGCTTCAAGCTAGTGGCTTGAAGTTTCTGTAGAAGTGTTTTTAATTTTACAGGATGGGGTTGCTAGCCTCATGCCCAACCAGCATTATTTCTGGTTTAGCGAGGTAAAGGAGTGCGTCGGCCGGGGATCGAACCGCGGACCACGTGCATGGTCGGCGAGCGTCCTAACCGCTATGCCACCGACGCACCTTAGATAACAATATTGTTTTCAATTAGATCTTCATCAAGCTTTACTCTAATTTACATAGATTTACACATAAAATTTTTTAACAAATGACGGTGATTTTTCGGATCAAATAATAATAATAATAATAATCATAATGGCGAAGTTCAACAATAGCGTCTCAGGAGTGCGAACGCTTCAATGACCTTAAACGCATGCTAGTCGTTGGTTAACGGTACCTATGGGTGATATATGACTATCATAGCTGAAATATCAACGCTATTCATCAAATAAGGAGAAAGTTTCACCCAGATAACGCTTTTAATTACAGTTTGGACAATGTGTTAATATCTCGTTAGGGTTACGGTAAGGGCGAGTAGTGGCGTTAGGGTTACGGTCATAATTGAGATTAGGTTTAGGTTTACGGCAGGATAGGAATTGTCATTAGGGTAGGGATTAAGGTTAGGGTTAGTATTAAATTTAGGGTTAGGGTCAGGATTAAGGTTAGCGTTCCGATTAGGGATAGATTCATAGTTTTTGCCGTTTAATTTCTTTTATCTTCATTATCCTTGTATGCAGTCGTCGATTCTCTTACTGAAATCACAATAATCTAACCGAGGGCTTTGCAGAGGACTGCACAGCAAAATTTACGTAATACTAAAGGTGAAGCGGACAGATAATCAGAGTGTTTAAATAAATACGAAGGAGATGGAAAATAAGAAAGGGTGGGAGGGTTTTGAATAGAATTCACCTAGGCAGGCAAGCAAGGGAGAGACAAAGGTGGAACAAACTTCTTTCTCCATTCGCCAATAGTGCTTGTGATTTTACACCATATCATCGTTATTATTTTACAATCATTCTTATTGTTGTTATTTTCAACCTTGAACTTATGTCTAGACCGCCCCATTCGTTGGTTTATTTTCATATTGTCTCACACACCCTGATTACACTCACTCTCGAAACCTGTATTTTCTGTTGACTATATTTATATATGTACACACACACACATATCATTAAAACAAATTACTCCATCTCATTTCGCCCCGTGTTCTCATTGACCATGCAGATTGAAAAAATACATGACAATTGTTTCATCCCATCTTATACTTGCTCCACAATACACTTTCTGATATGATTCTAATTTGCCTTTACTGGCTATTGTATGCCTAAATTAATGGATTTATAATTGTAGATCCTGAAGAAGAATTTATTGAAAACAATTGTTCGCTCTAAATATTTTCTTCTGAATAAATTATGCGAACATTCAATTTACAAACTTTTTTTGTATACACAAAGACTAGGATTGTTCTCTCGAATTAATTCCCATAGCTTCGGCTATGTGTAAAAGACAGATTCGAATTCCGTTCGAAAGGCCCGATGGAATGCGATAGATAACTTTGAAGGCACTATTTTTGTCCACTTGGTGACCACTATCAATCAAATAAGCCAAAATAGAACTTCTTATAGATTTTATTTGACCTTTTCCGAACCATGAAGGAAGATGCTCATTAATGCGTTTGTTAAGCTGTCTAGTTGTCCACCCTATATAGCTCTCTCCACAGGAGCAACTAAATTTATAGATACACATAGAAGTCGCACAGCTAGGTAGCTTGTCTTTCACTTGAGCAATCATAATTGACCGGCTGGAAAATGACAAACAAAGGGTGGCGGCAGTATAAGTCCGTTCGTTTTATTGCTCTCGATAATCTCACATGTAGGACTTCGCTAGCCACAGCCCCATTAAATTGCAATTTCATGAACAGTTGTTTCTTTTCAACTGTTGTCAGCTTCTCTTTATTGTACTTGGTGTGTTCATGTGTCTCCTTACAAATCTACTAGGATAACCCATTTGAACCAACATATTTTGGATGTATCCGAACTCATTTTGTAGGGAGTCATCTGTACAGATACGTCTTGCTCTATTCGGGAGGCATCTGACCAAATTGACTTTGTATCGAATTAATACAAAACTGAGGAAATGTGTGTATACTGTCCTACAGATGTAGGTTTTCTATAGACCTCTCCCTTGAGTGAACCATCCTCTCTTCTGCTCAATTGGACGTCCAAGAAATGTAGTCTACCATCATGTTCTCCTTCACAAGTGAAGATGAGTGATGGATGTGCATCATTAAACTTTTTTAACATTTCATTCTTGTCAGCTTTCACATCAAGAATAATAAACGTATCATCAACATATCGAAAATAAGAATGAGTTTTTTCTATTACTTGATTCAATGGACCATTTTCAACCTTAGCAAGAAAGAAATCTGCCAAAAATAGCCCCAATGGAGAACCCATGGCAATGCCGTCGATTTGTCTGTAGTAAATGTTGTTGAATGTGAAGGGTACATCCACAGTACATCATAAAAGCAACTCTTTAGACTAATAACTGGAATTCCGATGTCGAACTGTTTTCTTAGTGTCTGTTGGCATATGAATTCAACAGTCTCCATAAGTGGTACATTGGTAAACAGTGATGCTACATCTAAGGACAGCATTTGCTTCCCATTTACATTGATATCATCCGCGTTAGCAATAAATTCAAAAACGTCTTTAACACTATGATTTACTACCATCTTGTGTAACGGTTGGAGGAGTTCACCTAACCAATTTACCACTCCATGGTAGGTGGAATTAGACATATCTAGGACTGGGCGAAGAGGAAGTCCTTGTTTATGTACTTTGGGCAAACCATACAGTCGTGAGGTATTACTTCCAGTAGGTTTCAAGACGGTTGTAGGCTTCCTCTGAGATTACTCCACTTTTTCTCAGCTCCTTAAGCGTGTTGGTTAACTTCTTTTCAGCTTTTCCGTCTATATCTGTCAGGTTGCTAAGCTTTTGGAACTTTGTTTCATCCGTTAGAAGTGAATTCATTTTGTCGACATAATCGCACTTATTCATCAGTACTACTCCGGCTCCTTTATCACGTCTACTGATTATAATGTTTTCGTCGTTCCTTAGCTTTCTTAGGGCATCTCAATGTTGTGTTTAGACAGCAAACTTTTACTAGAATGACTACTATTTTTGTACTGCTGACAACTGTCGACTAGTATAATTTTAAACCTAGCGACGTCATCGGCTGACGTTGGAATCAAATCTCTTCTTTGTAGGAGGGGGTTTTCAAGTTGATTTTATATCCTTGGTCACAAAATCTAGGACCCAATGATAGAGCTTCTAACTGTAATTTATCTAGTGTTACACTTGAAAAATTATGGACGTACCGATAAAGGTCTCAAGGGAATGAAGGGAAACCCTTTTCAGGATTTTGATTGTCTAGTGATTTGATAAGTTTCGCTTTCCTCTTCTTCACTTTGTTTTGGCTTACTCTGTCAACATATTCCATGAAATCAGATAATAAATCCTCAGGGAGTTCATTGACCGCAAATTTATTCTGTGATAAATTCCTTTCAATATCCGAATTTATATCGAAAACCTACATCTGTAGGACAGTATACACACATTTCCTCAGTTTTGTATTAATTCGATTCAAAAAGTCAATTTGGTCAGATGACTCCCTACAAAATGAGTTAGGATACATCCAAAATATGTTGGTTCAAATGGGTTATCCTAGTAGATTTGTAAGGAGACACATGAACACACCAAGTACAATAAAGAGAAGCTGACAACAGTTGAAAAGAAACAACTGTTCATGAAATTGCAATTTAATGGGGCTGTGGCTAGCGAAGTCCTACATGTGAGATTATCGAGAGCAATAAAACGAACGGACTTATACTGCCGCCACCCTTTGTTTGTCATTTTCCAGCCGGTCAATTATGATTGCTCAAGTGAAAGACAAGCTACCTAGCTGTGCGACTTCTATGTGTATCTATAAATTTAGTTGCTCCTGTGGAGAGAGCTATATAGGGTGGACAACTAGACAGCTTAACAAACGCATTAATGAGCATCTTCCTTCATGGTTCGGAAAAGGTCAAATAAAATCTATAAGAAGTTCTATTTTGGCTTATTTGATTGATAGTGGTCACCAAGTGGACAAAAATAGTGCCTTCAAAGTTATCTATCGCATTCCATCGGGCCTTTCGAACGGAATTCGAATCTGTCTTTTACACATAGCCGAAGCTATGGGAATTAATTCGAGAGAACAATCCTAGTCTTTGTGTATACAAAAGAACAACACATTTAAGCGAACAATATTGTTTTCAATTAGATCTCATCGGGCTTAACTCTAATATATATATACGTATATATATATATATATATATATATATATATATATATATATATATATATATATATATATATATATATATATATCATGGTGTTTTGTCTATCGGATAATACGATGGTGAATATAAATTGTGCAATTAGTCATAATAGTGGTAATGATAATAGTAATAACAATAATAATGGTCTTATCAATAATAAGGATGAAAAAATGAGGCAATCTGTGATTACACGAATAATGAAAAACAGTATGATTAATCAAACAACAGGTGGAAGTAGTCGATAAAGGCTAGTAAAAACAAATGAACCGATCACGTAATCTTAGATTGTCAGGGAAGGAAATGAAGCACGTTTATATTGAAGATAAGATTAAAGGGTGATAAGAAAGGGGTTGGAAATATAAATAAGGGGTGGTGTAGAAGTCTTTAGTTGTTTATGTCTAATTAGGCCACGGGAGGGATAATGGCTGTACGAACTTCTTTTGAATGCATAGTTTAGGTTTAATAGTTCGAATGCCTATCGCCTCAGCTGTGTGCAGTAGACGAATACGAAGTCTATTAGAAAGATTCGGTGGGATACGATGAATTGCTTTGAAGGCTTTCGTTTTAACGACTACATGACCACTATCAATTAGATGTGACAGAATTGAGCTACGGATTGTTTTTGTCTGTCCTTTGGCAAACCACGATGGCAGATGTTCACTAACACGTTGGCTAAGCTGTCTAGTAGTACGCCCAATATAACTGTCACCGCAGGTGCAGTTGAATTGATAAATACACATAGATGTGGCAAAACTGTCAAGCTTATCCTTCGTTTGCGTCCCAATCATTCGTCGGCTAGAGAATGACAAACATAAGTGTGCTGCGTAAAATGTTCTACGTATGCTCCTTGAAAGTCTTTGGAATAGAATCTCACTAGATAAGTCACCATTAAATTGTAACTTAATAAATAGAGGTTTCTTATGTGCAGTCAGAGGCACAGGTTTTTTCTCTGATGGTTTCATATGTTTCTTTATGAAACTATTCGGATAACCCATCTCCGTCAAGGAATCGTGAATATATTCAAGGTCCTTTTGTAAGAGGTCATCCGTACATATCTTTCTTGCTCTGCTTGCGAGACATTTTACAAGATTCCTTTTATATTTAATGGGCACGTAACTAAGGAAGTGTGTGTATTGCCCTGTGAATGTGCTTTTTCTGTACACACTTCTCCCAAGTGACCCATCTTCTCTCCTACTTAGCAAGACATCCAGGAAATGTAGTTTATTCTCCTGCTCCTCTTCACAAGTAAAGGTAAGCGAAGGGTGGATGTTGTTGAATTTAAGTAACAATTCGTCTGTGTTAACCTTCTCATCAGCTAAGATAAATGTATCATCGACATATCGGTAATACATATCCAACTCCTTGATGGTATCCTTCAATTTCCCGTTTTCAAGTTTTGCGAGAAAGAAGTCAGCTAATATTGGGCCTAATGGTGAACCCATAGCTATTCCATCTACTTGTCGATAGTATGAATTATTGAAGACAAAGTGAACATTCATTGTGCATTTAAGAAGTAATTCTTTGAGGCTACACAAAGGGATTCCTAAGTCTAATTGCCTATCGGTGATTTCTTGACAAATATAATCCACTGTTTCCATAAGCGGTACGTTAGTGAATAGTGATGATACATCCATGGATAACATGCGTTTATACCTCACATTAGTCTCGGATATTTTAGAAATAAAGTCGAAGACATCACTAATTCGATGTTGCACGATTTCTCTGTGCAAAGGACCCAGGATCTTAACTAACCACTTCTCTGTTCCGTGAAATGGAGAGTTATACATATCTAAAACAGGGCGAAGAGGAAGACCCGGTTTGTGCACTTTTGGTAGACCGTAAAGACGTGGAGTATTGGTACCCGTAGGTTTCATGGACTCATACGTGGTTGATGATAATACTCCTATTTGGTTCAGTTTTTTGAGGGAGTCAGTCATTTGTTTCTCAGCTCTTCCATTGAGGTCTTTGGAAACATCAAGCGATTGGAATTTAGTTTTATCGCTCAAAATACCTTCCATTTCCTCAACATAATCGCTGTAAGATCAATTCTATTCCCATCCTTGAATCAAGTCAACCTGCCCCGGATCAGCCTAGAGTTGTTGCAACCCAATTATCCATGCCTAACGTGTCTATCCCTGCTTGTTTAATGAACTGTGTGTATGTGTTTTTACCTCTATCCGTGTAGTCAGACAGTTGAACTCATGGCCCAATCAGAGTATTTTGTGAACTGTTATTTTTGCTGACCCATGTCTAACTTTGTACTATTCTGTCGAGTTTATCTTATTTATTGATTTTCATCTGTATTTTCCTACCTGGTTAAGTAGCCAATTAAATTCTATCTTTGTGCCTATGCTCGGTCTATCTCTCTTAAACGCTCTCTGTTTTATGCCATGCCTTACTTGGGTTCATTCTTCTACTGACTGCTTACCTGAACGGTCGTGTCTGGTTCCGGCTAGTTCGCAATTTTGGTTTTAACGTTATTCCGCTCTGATAGCGGTACCTTGCTTTCTGTTAAGCGTTGTGCTTTGTACTCTTGAAACCGTTAAGGTTTGTTGTATATATAATTATTGATTTATTTATTAATAGTACCGTAGAAACAGTGACCGGCTTCTTGTTTGTTCTGGACCGGGATAGCCTTTATCTACGCGTGACTTAATTTCAAACAATATTGCGCTTACAGTACTTAACGTAGTACATAACGCTAAAGGGATCGAGACTTTACTGAACTGGTCAGTACTTAACGAAAGAGGAATTGTCATTGAAGAAAATCCCGTACTGAACTGGTCAGTACTTAACGCTAAACGGATCGAGACCGTACTGAATTGGTCAGTACTCAACGTCTAATAGGAAAATCCCGTACTGAACTGGTCAGTACTGAGCGTTCATCGAGAAGAAACTGTGGTGAATTGGCAGCACGCAACGTTATTGACAATACATTGTCTTTGGAACAATGCAAACCAGATCAGGGAATCAAATTTCGGAGCAGCAGTCGGAGAGTCGGCAAGTCCCCGTTCGTATAAATGATCATGTTGATAATCTTTCGTGCCCCGGCTCTCATGTCAGTAGTTCGAAATTATCATTACCGCGAGTAACTAGTGCTAAGTCGTTGCTACTAAGGGCGCAGCTAAAAGAGAAACAGCTTCGAGAGGAGTTAGAGTTAGAGAAAAAGTTGCTAAAGGCTAGACATGATGTCGAAATGGCCGAGCTGCATGTGAAGTTAGCCGAGGACGACGAACGGAAAACTCATGGAAATACGAAAAGAGGCACTGTCAATTACGCTCGAATCAGCAAAGACAGTATCAAAGACGACATCAGAAGTCTACATCAAGCTGAGCTTAAGGATACTGAAGAAAACAAAAACTCATTTTCTATTGAAGATCGTAAGGCAATCGAGTTTGTTACTCAAAGCACCGTAGTAGAAAAGGCGCATTACATCATTCCCTTGCCATGGGAAGATCCGACAAAGGTAACGGACAATAATTATGTAGTCGCCATAAAGCCGTTACTCAATCTGAAACAGAGGTTATCGTGTGACAAGAACCTTTTAGCACGATATGTGGAGGGGATAAATACGATGTTAAAAAATGGTTATGCCCTTCCGGTACCCCCAAAGCAGCTAGCAGCGAACTATCGTTCGAGGTGGTATCTTCCACATCATCCC